AGCCTGAGTTCTGATGCTTCCTCAAACTCACTAGTTGGGCCACCCAAGGCAAATCACTTAACATCTCTCAGCCTCAGTTTCCTCATCTGTAAAATGGAGGTAATAAACAGTACCTCCCTCCCCAGAGTTGTTGTGAGAATCAAAGGAGAGAAAGTGCTGGGCAAACCTATTTAAATGCTAGCTATTATTACTAGGTAGACAAAACCCAGAAAAGTCCCTGCCTTGTCAAACCCCACAGGACATCCAGGAATTGGTTGGGCTGTTAGATGATTTCTAAGGGCTCTTTTGGCTTTCATTTGCCTTGAGTCTATGCAGTTCAACAAATGTTCAGGCTCAGGGTGAGATTACAGAGAAATAGTCCCAGACATCCAAAAGCTCTAGTAGAGATAAGACATAACCCTTAACACACAACATTTCCAGATAAGTGTGTAGAGAAGCCCTTCCTTATTTCAAACTGAAATCTTGTCCCCTTGGCAACTTCTTCCTAGGTTATTCTTAATGATGCACATGTGCACACACACAGACACATAGACAGCCACACAGACGTACACACACATAACACCACACACAAGGTTATACTCAAAAAGCTCTATTATTCTTCTTTCGCTTCAGATAGGGGAAGATAGTCAATCACTTCCCTCCCAACTCTTCCCTTTTCTACTCTGCCAATCAAAGAGTATTTAAGCACCAATAGTTCGTCAGGCACAGTGCTAGGACCTGAGGATACAAAGACAAGAATAAAATCTTACTAGCCCTCAAGGCGCTTACATCCTTTCTGGAGGATGCAGAGTCACAAATAAGTAAATATAGGTAGATAGGGGGAAAAAATGAATTCATAGCAGTGGAGTGTAGAGCAGAGGCATTAGTAAATTGTAGGATGTAGGAAAGACTTCTTGTAGATGGCAGAAGATGAGCCTTGAAGGGAGCTAGGGGTTCCAAGAGGCCAAGCAAGTCAACAAGCAGTTATTTGGGCCCTATTATGTTCCAAGCACTAAGCTAAGTGCTGAGGATACAAAGAAAAGCACAAGCATGAGGGGGGATGGAGAAGAATCGTCCTTAAAGACTAAACATTCCTGTTATACAGGTGAGAAAACTAAGACCCTAAAAGGTCAGGTGGCTTGCCCAGGGTTACAAAGCAGGTCAGAGGCAGATTTTAAAACTCAAATTTCCCAATTCTCCATCCAAGATGCATCATCTGGTCATTCCCCCACCCCCCACCCCAGCCCTGGTTACCTTGTACCTATATGTCCAATTGTTTCCCCCTTTAGAGTGTAAATCCCTTGAGGGTAGCAACTGTTTCACTTTTATTTCTGCAAGCCTAACGCCTAACAGTGCCTGGTACACAGCAAGTGCCCAATAAATGCTCGCTGATTGATGCATAAAGCATCCAATGATAAAATAGCTAATCTTTATATAGAGTTTTAGGGATAGAGGAGTAGGGACTGGTCCTGGGATTTTATTGGTATAGGCAACTTACAGAAGAGAAAACTCTCATTGCAAATACAGGTTTAGCACCTTGTAGAGAGAAACCTAAAGCATTGAGAAGTTCAGTGACTCGCCCTGGGTCACAGAGCCAGTCAGTATATAGCAGGGGCAGGACTTGATCCCCTCTCCTTTCCCCACTGCCCTTCTTGGTCCCTAGGCCAGCTCAAATTCCACTCTGCCATACTGTCTTTCATATTCATATATTTTCACATGTTTCACTGTAAAGTTTATAAAATGTTTTCCATAGGATTATGGATGTGATTGGTAGTAACTAAATCCCCCAATAATAATAACTATTGGTAATGCCCCTGGCACTACGGAGCTAGCTCTAGGATCCCAAGATTCCCTTATCTTCCCTGGTCATGGGACATGCTCAGAGCTGTGCTTTAATGAATGAATGAAAGGCTCCAGCCCATCTCTCCAGCTGATCCCATTTCGGTGCTTCTGTCTCCTATAATAGATGCTCAATATTCCTCTCACCTCTGCTGGTTGAAATCTCTAACTTTCTTTCCAGACCCAGCTCAAATGTCATGCACACCAAGAAAGCCTTCCAGGATTGCTACCCCTATGTTGCCTGCAACCCGGTCAGTAATGACCCCTCCTTCCCAAAATGGTCTCATCATCTCTGGACAGTGAACCCCCTAGGCACAGGAATTAGGTTTTAACAGATCTTTGCTGCTCCCTCTTCTCCAAGTCCATCCTTCACCCAACACCGAAATACCCTTCCTAAAGCATGTCAGTATGTTATTCCAAAACCTTCGAGGGCTCCCTAGTACCTCCAGACCTGCATCTGAACTGCTCAGCTGAGCAGTGAATGTCTTTCAAACTCTCAATCCAATCTACCTGTCTAGGTTTTTTTTTAAATTTGGCTCCTATTCACACGCTAAGTTCTGGCCAAACCCAGATGCCTCCCAGATTTCATTCCACCCTCAAGCCTCTGTTCAATCAGGTAGACCAGCCCCTTTGGAGGAATGTCCTTCCTCCCCCTTTTCACCTGTTGAAATCTGTCCAGTTCAGATGCCACCTGCCAACTCCTCCTTGAAGACTTCTCTGATGACACCCTGCCCTCCACCTGAAAGCATTCTCTCCTCTTCAAATTTCCCTGGAGTTTTTTGTCTGGGTCTCCTTTTGACTTGTGTGCATTTGGAATCCCCCCTTATTAGACTATAAGCTCCCAGAAGGCAGGGTTGGGGCTGAACCTGTCCCATTGGCTGGAATGGAAATATAGACACTTCATACATATTGAATTTAACTAAATTTGCATCCCAGCAAAGGGCTCAGCTTGGGGGTCTGGGCTAAGGTGGTGGTGATGGGGGGGTCTATGCCAAATTCTCCGTAGGTCTCAGCTCAGCCATACATTAAGACCTCTGGCTGACTTTTGCAGCAAGCCCTGAGGTAAACAAGGGAGGAAAAGATGAGCCTGGGTTGGGCTTCTCTCTCCCTCTAGGGCCCCAAGGCTCAGGGCTGGGTTCCCTCTGGGATAGGGCTTTGTCTGCTTGTCAGGAGTTTCTAAAGCAAAAGGGGCCAAGTTTCAGGCCAAGCCAAGGGTGGGGCCTTTTTAGTCATGGGGTGAGAGGGCTAAAGAAGGTTCCTAGAATCACCAACTCAGATCTGGAAAGGAACTCAGAGATATAGCGGCTCATTTTTCAGAGAGGGAAACTGAGGCCCTGATTGAAAAAGGATCACACAGAAATTCAGGGGCAGGGCAAGGCAGAGCCCACATTTCTGGATTTCCCAGTTATAGCACCACTCTCAGAGATTTAGGTTTGCTGGGATGGGACTATGATTTAGCCAGAGATCCCAAAGCACCCTTCTAAAACCTGGGAGTTCAAGGCACTAAACACCTCAGGCTATATAAGTTCCTAGAGCAATGCCCAGAGGCACTGGGCAGGGGAGTGAGTCCCAGCTCAGCTTCCTAGGGAGCAGGGCCACCACCCAAACTGGAAAGGGGCTGGCCGGTTGTTCTCTAAGTAGAAATACTAATGGAGAGAGACAAGGAAAGAGAACTAACCCATTGGAGGGGGTGGGGAAGCTAGCATCTCTCTTGGCCTCAGTTTCTTTCTCTGTAAAATGTGAGAGTTGCACTAAGCAGCTTCTGAGGGTCCCTTCAAGCTCTTAAATCTATAAGCCTCAATTCAAATCTCACCTTCTACAAGAAGACTTTTCCCAGTCTCCCACTCCCTCCCACCACCCCCCACTGCCTTCCTTTGGAGATGATCCAACAGCCCACCACCCCCATGGACATAGTTATATTTATGTTGTCTTCTCCCATTAGGATGTGAGCTCCTTGAGGGAAGAGCCCACAGTTTTTGCTTTTCTTTGAATCCTCAGTGCTTAGCACTGTGCCTGCACAGTACTTAATATTGTTGACTTTCAGAACGGGGTAGGGGGAGAGTGGGAAGCAATTAGCCCATGGCTCTATGTGAAAGCATGAGGGAGTTAGCCAATGGCTCTCTTAGCAGTGATGGGGAGGTAGCCATCACTCCATGAGGAAGGATGGGGAAGAGGCTGCCCATGAATTAACAAGCATTTTACTCCAAAGAGGAATCTGGGCTGGGGGAGGGGTCAGGGTATGTTGCCGTGAAGGGGAGAGGGGTGGTGTGTTAGCCTATGGCACTTAGAGAAGGCAGGAAAAAGGGAGAGGAGCTCCTGACTTTATGGTCAGAGCTTTCAGGAAGGGAGCTAGCTTTAGATTCTAGGAGGAAGGATGAGGAGGAGTACGACCATAGCTTAATGGGGAAGGGTGAGGATGGAGATGGGGATGGAGATGGGGATGGAGATGATGAGGATGGGGATGGGGTTGAGAATGGGGGGGGAGCAAGTATCTTGGCTTGAAAGGCCTAAGACTGAAGAAGCTCCAAGCCTCCCCTTCCCCAAGAGCCACCAAGGCCCAGCCTGTCTAGTCTCTCTGCTTTTCTGAGCACCTGTGCCTGGTGGGGGATCAGGGGAAGGGGAGGGCCGGCCACAGGCCCTGCCCTTGAGTATTAAAGAGGATGTGGCCCAGAGTACAGTCTAGCTCCCTTCATCGACTTCCCCACCTTTAAGCAGCATCTTCCAGGAGCATAGGCGGGAGAAGGGCTGTAACCAGGAGGCCAGGCCCACCACCACCTGCGGGATGCCTTCCAGCCCAAGCTCTCCAAGCCCCTCATCCCCCCGCCACGGGTGCAACGGGGGCAGCCGACAAGGGGTGGGGCTAGCCATTGATAGCCTCAGTCCCAAGAAGCAGACACAGGTTATTATATCAGGCCCTTTCACTACTGAGAGAGAGTGAGGGGCCCCCAAGCCTGGAGCCTCGGACTCCAGGTTTCCAAACCTTCAGTCTGCAGACCGACCCCTGGTTCCTGGACCCTCCTCCCCAAAGCGCCCGATCTCTTGGTTCCAGACCTTTAGCTACCGGATCCTCAGACACCCCCCCGCCCAGCCCTAAGACACCCCAGGCCCGGGACCCCCAAAGCCCGGATCCTCCAGCCTTTAGACCTCCAGAACCCCAACACCCCCAGACCCCGGCTACTCACTCCATGGTTCCCGCAGTCCGGGCGTCTGAGGCTGGCAGGAGGAGGAGGAGGAGGAGGATAAGAAGGAGGGGGAGGAGGAGGCAGCGGCGGCCGGGGAGGGGCTGGGGGAGGGTGGGGCGAAGGGGGAGCAGCCTAGGGGGCTGAGGGCTGGGCCCCCGGGGCGGGGGCGGTGGCCGGGCCCAGGTGGACAGCGGCGGGGAGGAGCCAGAGCCGAGATCTCCTAGCGCCCGAGGTGCCCCCCGCGCCCGCAGCGCCCTCGCTCCCCGCCGGCTAGCGCAGGGGCGCGGGGCTGGTCCGGGCTGCGGGGCGCGGGGGCGGGGGCAGGCGGAGGCTCCGAGGCATCGCAGCCGGGAGAGGAGGGCGGGGAAGAGAAGGAGCGGTGTTATTGTCCGGGGCGGGCGGAGGCACGGAGCGAGGGAGCTAGCGAGCGCGCGCGGGGGAGGGCTGAGCTTCGGTGGGCTGGGCTGGGCTGGGCTGGGGCTGGGGCTGGGGCTGGGGCTGGGCCGGGGCCCGGGAGCGGTACGACGTCGCCTCCTACCGACCATCGGCTATCACTACAACCTGCCCACTCCCCACCCCAGCCCCTACCCCTCAAAGCGCCCCCCACCCCCATCCCATGGAAAGTCTTTCCTCTGGGATAAGAGCCAGCAAATATCGCCTTGTACCCAGGTCCCAGACAGCCGGTCCCCGGTGGGAGTGAGCCTGGGGATAGGCTGATCTCTGCGGGATGTTACAGAGGAGGGAAACTGAGACACAAAATGGGGAGGGGGGCTTAGCCAAAGGGGAGCAAGGAATTATAAAATTTCTGAAACTCTGAGACCTCAGAGGGTCCAACTGGTATCCAAACATCAATCTCCTTAATATCTCCTGGCATTGACTTGCTGTGTCATCTTTGCTGCCTCAGTTTCCTCAACTGTAAAATGAAGAGGTCACTATCCAACGTGGGAATTTGTTTTACTAGATTACTCATATTTGTTGCAGAGGCTTTGTTTTTCTTGTTTTCAGTACGGGTGGAGTGGTAAGAGGTAAGCGTAGATGGGGATTGGGTAGCAAAATGAAAAGAAGGTAATTGAGGCATTCTTTTTTTTTTTAATGGAGAGAAAAAAACAAAAAGAAGCAAATTTTTGCTTTACAAATATTAAGTCGTTTGATCCTGAAACAACCCTGGGTACTTTTATCAGCCTCCCTTTTTAAACATAAGGAAGCTGAGGCAGACCAAGGTTAAATGACTTGCCCAGATAGTAAGTATTTTAGTCAGATAATAAGTATCTGAGGGCACAGCTGGACTCAAGTCTTCCTGACTCTAGGTCTACCTAGACAGGGTACCACTGTACAACGAGCTACTTCATTTGGGGTTTGTGTTCAGAGTAAAAAGCAGGAATAATTTTAAAATTAACTAAAAGGAGGCAGTGGATCTTTAAGGTACTTCCATTAGACATCTTTTTGCCCCCTTCTCTCTGACACTGCCACCATCCAGGTGTAGCCTCATGCCTGGACAATTACAACAGCCTGCTAGCTGGTTTCCCTGCCTCAGGTCTCTCTGCCCTCCAGTCCATCCTCCACATAGTCACCAAATTGATCTCAGATCACAGTTCTGACCATGTAACCCTCAAATGCTTACTCAAACTCCAGTGGCTCCTTATCACTTCCAGAATCAAATGTTTTTTTTCTTTCTTTTTTTTATTAATTTATTTTAATTTATCAACAATCCCATAAACTTTTGAGTTTTAAATTTTCCTCCCCCTCCCTCCTCAAGACAGCATACAATCTGATATAGGCTATACATATACATTCCTATTAAACATTTTCACATTAGTGATGTAAGGAAGAATTAGAACCAGTAGGAGGAATCACAAGAAAGAGAAAACAAAACAAAACAGAAGAAAAAATAGCAAATAGTATGCTTCTATCTGCATTCAAACTCCATAGTTCTTTCTTTGGATGTGGATAGCATTTTCTATCATGGGTCTTGTGGAATTGTCTAAGATCTTTGCATTACTGAGAAGAGCTAAGTCTATGAAAGTCAGTACAATGTGGTGATTACTGTGTATAGTGTTCTCCTGGTTCTGCTCACTTCACTCAGCATCAGTCTGTGGAGGTCTTTCTAGTATTCCATTACATTCATATACCACAACTTGTTCAGCCATTCCCCAATTGATAGGCATCTCCTCAGTTTCCAATTCTTTGCCACCACAAAAAGAGCTGCTATAAATATTTCTATACCTGTGGGTCCTTTTCCCATTTGTATGATCTCTTTGGGATACAGCCCTAGAAGTGCTATTGCTGGATCAAAGGGTATGCACATTTTTATAGCCCTTTGGGCATAGTTTCAAATTGCTCTCCAAAATGGTTGGATCATTTCACAACTCCACCAACAATACATTAGTGTTCCAATTTTCCCACATCTTCTCCAACATTTATCATTTTCCTGTTTTGTCATGTTGGCCAATCTGATAGGTATGATGTGGTGCCTCAGAGTTGTTTTGATTGAATTTCTCTAATCAATAGTGATTTAGAGCATTTTTTCATATGACTGTAGATGGCTTTAATTTCTTCATCTGAGAACTGCCTGTTTATATCCTTTGATGATTTATCGACTGGGGAATGACTTGTATTCTTATAAATTTGACTTAATTCTCTATATATTTTAGAAATGGTTGTAAAAATTCTTTCCCATCACTTGACACTAGCTGTGTGACATGGGCAAGTTACTTAACCCTGATTGCCTCACCAAAAAAAAAAATTCTTTCCCAATTTTCTACTTTCCTTCTAATCTTGGTTGCATTGGCTTTGTTTGTACAAAAACTTTTCAATTTAATGTAATCAAAATTATCCATTTTGCATTTCATAATGTTCTCTATCTTCTGTTTGGTCATGAATTCTTCTGTCCTTCTGTTATTCCAAATGAATCTTGTTATTATTTTTTCTAGCTCTATAAAATAATTTTTTGGTAGTTTGATTGGTATGGCACTGAATAAGTAAATTAGTTTAGGTCTTTTTTAAATAGTATTTTATTTTTTTCCTATTACATGTAAAGACAATTTTTGACATTCATTTTTTAAAATAAAATTTTGAGTTCCAAATTTTCTCTCTCCCTCCCTTCCCTCCCCCCTCCCCAAGATGGTAAGCAATCTGATATAGGTTATACGTGTGTAATCATGTAAAACATATTTCCATATTGGTCATGTTGTGAAAGAAGAAACAGTTTGCAAAAAAAAAAAAATGCGGTTTGCAAAAGGAAAAAACCGTGATCAAAAATAAAGAAAGTGAAAATAGTGTGCTTTGATCTGCATTCAGGTTCCATTGGTTCTTTCTCTGGATGTGGATAGCATTTTCCATCCTGAGTCCTTTGCAATTGTCTTGGATCATTGCATTGCCGAGAAGAGCTAAGCCAATCATAGTTGATCATCTCATAATGCTATGTACATTGTTCTCCTGGTTCTGCTCACTTTACTAAGTCTTTCCAGGTTTTTCTGAAACCTGCCTGCTTGTCATTTTTTATAGCAAAATAGTATTCCATTACATTCATAAACCAAAACTTGTTCAGCCATTCCCCAACTGATGGGCATCCTCTCAATCTCCAGTTCTTTGCCACCACAAAAAAAAAGCTGCTATAAATATTTTTGTACATGTAGGTCCTTTCCCCTTTTTTATGATCTCTTTGGAATACAGACCTAGTAGTGGTATTGCTGGATCAAAGGGTAGTCAGTTTGATTATCCTTTGGGCATAGTTCCAAATTGCTCTCCAGAATGGTAGGATCAACTCACAACTCCACCAACAATGCATTAGTATCCCAATTTTCTCACACAGGATCAAATGTTTTCAATGACCCCATAGCTGGAATTCTTTCCCTCATCTCTATCTCCCTTGGTTTCCTTTCCATCCCAGCTAAAATCCTACCTTCTGAAGAAGCCTTTCCGGTTCCCCTTAATGCCAGTGCCTGCCCTTCGTTGATTATCTCCTATTTATCCTGTATCTATCTGGTTTGCATATAGTTGTTTGCATGCTGCTGTCCCCAGTAGACTCTGGGCTATTTGAGGTCAAGGACTGTTTTTTGCCCTTCTTTATATCCCCTTCCTGCCCCACCCCCATTGCTACTAGCTTTGACCCGGAGGGCCAGATAGAACAAGTGTAATCATTTTTCTCTGTCACAGCCCTTGAATTAAATCTGGGGGGGAGGAGTGGGGGGAAAGAATGGTGTAATGAAGATAATAATAATCATAATAATAGTAGTAATTAATAAGCTATCCATGACCTGGGGACTAGAATTATTCATCAGAAGGTCACTGTCTTTCAGGGATTGACAGATGACAAATCCTGTTATTAAACATACAGAACTCAAAATATCCAAGAGAACTCAAATAGCAGACTGTACCGGAATCAGACCATTGTCACAGACAGAACTGTTGTCCCTACTTGCCTCAATATAGCATTGATCCATAAGGACAAGACCACAATTTTTCCCAGATATCACCATGCCAAATACTCATCTTCTCCAAGGTGTTGCTGTTCAGTCATTTTTTAGTCATGTCCAACTCTTTGTGACCCCATTTGAGGTTTTCTTGGCAAAGATACTGGAGTGGTTTCCCATTTCCTTCCCCAGCTCATTTTACAAATTAGGAAACTGACACAAACAGGGTGAAGTGACTTGCCCAGGGTCACACAGCTAGTAAGTGTCTGAGGCCAGATTTGAGCTCAGGTCTACCTGACTTCAAGTTCCATGGAGTGAAAAGCTTCACAGCAGAGAGACCTAGCACAGTCACTCAAAATCCTGTGGGAACAGGCTGGGGTTTGAGGATGGGAAAGGTACTTCGTCAGAGCCTACAGAAGAAGAATTTATATCCTGATTTTTTTATTTAACTACAAAAAGCAGTTCATTTAGTGTATTAAATAAGGACAATAATTAATGATTTTTAGCTATTAGATATAAACATAGGACTATTAGAATTGATTTAAATTATATAGAATTAATATAAGACTATGTTAATAGAATTAATATCTGAATATTAGATATAAAAGAGTAATAACAAGATCACAACATGTCTCAAGACCATTTCTGTCAAAATTAGTCATTCCATAAACATTTATTAATCATATGCTATAGGTCAGGCCTACTAGAAGTGGCAGCTAGCTGATGAAATGGATAGAGTGCTGGGCCTGGAGTCAGGAAGACTCCTCTGGAATGACAGGTCCTCTTCCTATCCTTATTACAAAACAATTTAGAGACATTATCTCATTTGAACTTCATAACAACCTTATGAGGTAGGTATTACAGATGTAATAATTCTCATTTTACAGACAATAAGACAGACTCAAAAGTCTCAGGGACTTGCCCATGGTTATGAGGCTAATAATGATTAACTTTTGTAAAGCACTTTCACTTTAAGGGCAACAGACTACTTTCTACATATGATTTCATTTGATCCGCACGGAAATCCTGGGAGATAAATGCCATTATTATCCCCATTTTACAGATGAGGGAACTGAGACAGGCAGAGGTTAAGTGACCTAGGTCTTCATGCCTCCAGGTCTGGTAGTCTATTCATTGCACCACCAAACTGCTATCATTATAAAATGAATTCATTAAACTAATTGATCTCTAAGGTCAATTTATAGCCTATAATATCAATTGATGATCTATAAGGTCTCTTAAATCTATGATCTTGTGATTCCGTGTAGTCTGACTCTGGGACCATCATATCCCTCATTTTGGACACTATGGCTATTATAGTGCAGACTAAGATCGAATTGGGAATTTGGGTTGTTTTATCACATTATTGGTTCATACTGAGTTCGTAGTTTGTTAAAAACCCATTGGTCTTTTTCAAATTCAGTTTAATTCAACAAAAATGTATTAAGTACCTCCTATGTGAAGAACATTCTTTTTACTTGGAATGATACAAAAGTTTTGATAAGATTGCTGTCCTTAAAGTCCTTAAAAATCTGAAGATCATGAAAGGTATGATTTCAGAGAAACCTGGGAAGAATTGTATGAACTGATGTAGAGTGAAGTGAACAGAAACAGGAGAACAATTTATATGGTGACAACAATATTGTAAAGACAAACAACTTTGAAACACGTGGGAACTCTGATTAATGTAATGACCAACCACTATTCCAGAGGAATACACACATACACACATGTACATATACATATACATATATTTGAAATAATATATAGGAAAATATAGATATCTATACCTATCTATATGTTGTTCAGTTATTTTCAGTCATGTTTGACTTTTTGTGACCCTGTTTGAGGTTTTCTTGGCAAAGATCCTGGAGTGGTTTGCCATTTCCTTCTCCAACCCATGAGGAAACTGAGGCAAACAGGGTTAAGTGGCTTGCCAAGAGTTACATAGCTAGCTAGCAAGTGTCTGAGGCTGGATTTGAACTTAGATTTTTCTGACTCCAGGCCCAGTGTTCTATCCATTGACCTATTAGTCTACAGGCAAGTAAATTCAAAACAGATGCAAAGTAACATAAATTTGTTTTAAAAGTGAGGGAGAGCACACCCATAACTGGGGAGATCAGGAGACGCCTCTCAGAGGAAGGGGTACTGGGATATGAAGAAATCAGATAGCTAAGATACAGCATGAAAGTTCTCCCAGGATGTCTCATTGTGGTATGGAGGTGATCTTGAGTTCTTGGAGGCCATACTAGCAGAGAATCAATTCTGGCAAGGTCTGTCCTGGAAAGGAGCTCGTCCAGCAACAGGCAGCTTGAGGTCCAAGCTAGCCAAGAGGAGAGAATCTCTTTATCTACCAGTAGACCAGAAATCTGATGATGAATTCTTTGGCCATGGAGACTCATGAAATGAGGATAAATACAAAGCTGCCCTTAGTTATGTGAGGGCACTTCTGCAGTGACGAGGATAAAGAATGCTAAGGATCACACGGTTATTAGACCATCTCTAAACATTTACCAGTTAGGTGTTGCAGTGGATAGGGTACCAGGCCTAGAGTCAGGAAGAGTCATCTTCCTGAGTTCAAATTCCACCCTCAGACACTTACTAGCTGTGTGACCTTGAGCAAGTCACTTCTTCCTGTTTGCCTCAGTTTCCTCATCTATAAAATGAGCTGGAGAAGGAAATGGCAAACCACTCCAGTATCTTTGCCAAGAAAACCTTAAAATAGAGTCACAAAGAGTTGGACACGACTGAAAAATGACTGAACACAAATATTTACTTAATCATTGGTGCTCTAAAATGTGAGATACTGGGAGTCAGGAAAATCTGACTTCAGATCCTGCCTGAGACTAACTGTGTGAGCCTGGGCAAGTCACTTAATGTTTATTTGCCTCAGTTTTCTCATCTGTAAAATGGGGATAGCAGCACCTACCTCTCAGAGTTATTGTGAGGATCAAGTGAGATAACATTTGCGAAAAGCGTTTTGCAAATGATAGTGTTATATAAATGCTATATATTGTTATCACTACTATTATTATTCTGTGATTGACAAGGAGATGCACTAATGAAGGAATAAATTGTATCAATCTTAACACTCTTGCTATAGATCAATGGGTTCTTACTTTGGGGTCCAAGGATGGATTTCAGGGGACCCACAAATTTGGTTGAGAAAAAAATTACATCTTTATTTTCACTAACTTGAAACTGAAATTTAGCCTTTGTTTCAAGTATTTAAAAACATTTTTCTGAGAAGAGGTCAAAAGCCTTCACTGGACTGCCAAGGAAGTCCATGACGGAAAAAAGTCCAGAAGATCTGCTATAAACAGACCCAGGAAATAAACGATGGCTCCCTGAAATGATGGAGGAGGGTGCTCGGAAAGCTGGTTTCATCATGAATCCAAAGGCATCAGGCAATATCAGTTCCTGGGATCCTTAATTAGCTTCTGTTGGGGTGCTCATGATAAATACTTGGAAAAAGACTCCCATGAAAATAATTTCAGTTTACATGCCCACATCTATTGGAACGAAGGAAGAAGCAGAAAAATCATATAAAGAACTTGATAATTTCCTCATAATTAAATTGACATTTTTCGAAGTTGTTTGTCTTTGTGATCAGTGCAATGATTGTTCATGATTCCAGAGGACTGATGATGAAATATATTAACCACATCCTGACTGAGAGGTGATAGATATAGGGTACTGCATCGTAGGTGACATTTCATCATTGGTCAACAGTAACAAACATGCATAGTCAAATAAAACAAATTTCCTCAATAGTTGTATATGTATAATAAAAAATACACACACAATACAATAAACATACACACACGTGTACATATGTATATTGTGTATACATGTATGTACATGTATGTATATTGTGTGCACAGACATAGGACCATTGAGGAAATTCATTTTGTTTATACTACACATATATATTACAGCTAGCTGTTGTAGTGGATAGAGCTCTAGGCCATTTGTCAGGAAGACCTGTGTTCAAATCCAGCTTCAGACAATCACTGTATGACCTCTGGCAAATAAGTTAACTTCTGTTTGCCTCAGTTTTCTCAATTGTAAAATGGGGGTAATAATAATGCCTGTGTTCCAGGGTTGTTTTCAGAATCAAATGAAATATCTACGAAACTCTTAGCACAGTGCCTAGCATGAGCTATTGTTTAATCATTTTTCAGTTGTGTCTGCTTCTTTGTGACCCTATTTAGAGTTTTCTTGGCAAAGATACTGGAGTGATTGGCCATTTCTTTCTCCAGCTCATTTTACAGAGGAGGAAACTGAGGCAAACAGGGTTAAGTGACTTGCCCAGGGTCTAGTAAGTGTCTGAGACTGGATTTGAACTCAGGAAGATGAGTCTTCCTGGCTCCAGGCCCAGTGATCTATCCGTTGTGCCACTTAACTATCCTTGGCATATAGCAATAAATATAATATTAATAAAAATAATAATGGCACATAGCAATAAATATAATATTAATAAAAATAATAATGACTTAAATGTTTGTTCTCTGCCCCCCCCTTTTTTTTTCCAGTGGGTAGGAGGTGGTAGAAAGAGAAAATAATTTTTGTTCACTTAATAAAGAAACACTTCTTTTAAAACGGGGCTGGGGGAGGGAGGGCAGGAAGCTTGATTACTGGTGTGGAACATTGCATGCACTTTCAGGTAAGGTTATGATTATTAGTTTTGCTTGATTATTTTACTTTGTTGCCAGAGAGCTCTCACAATTGGAAGGGGTAATCTGGAAAATGTTTGTAAGGTAAAAAATGTCAACAAAAATTTTAAACTTTTGAAAAATAAATCATATAATCAACAAGTACTTTAATAGTGACTTTAATTCAAAGACGGGCATTTTTGCAGAATGGACAGAAAATATTGGAAGACATTGTTCAGGAGTAAGAAATGAAGTAGGCAAAAGGCTTGTTGATGGCACAGAAGCCTCATCCCCATGTATCATGAATCCCCCTCTATGTATATGTGGTTTCCCCTACGCTTGAGAATAGGAATTGTTTCTTTTTTTGTTTTTTGTACCCCCAAGTGTCTAGCACCGTGCCTGACATATAGTAGACGCTTAATAAATGCTTGTTGATTGATTTAGTCCAAGAAGAGAGTCAGAGGCACTAACTGTGGCAAGCAGTAAATAACGTAATGAAAAATGAAACTGATTATATTTTAATAGGCAGGAAACAAATATGGCGTCATCACTTCCGAACTGGCTGTTTGTGGGCAAATAATTCCACTGACTTTTTTAAAGTCAAGAATAAAATCAATACCAAGTTAAAAGAAAGAATAAAAATGAGAAACTATGGTGAGTAACTGAGACAACTCTAACTCTGACTTTTTAAAAAATATATATTTTTATTTTTTATTTTTGTTGTTATTGTTGCCCTTTTTAAAAATATATATAGCCTAAATTTGAGGGTAGCTAGATGTCCCAGTGGATAGAGTGTGGGGGCCTGGAGTCAAGGAGTATCATCTTCCTGAGTCCAAATATGGCCTCAGATACCAGCTATGTGACCCTGGACAAGGCACTTCACTCTGTTTGCCTCAGTTTCCTCATCTGTAAAATGAGCTGGAGAAGGAAATGACAAACCACTCCAGGATCTCTGCCAAGAAAACTCCAAAATGGGTTATGAAGAGTCAGACACAACTGAAAAAAAAATGACTGAATAACAACAAAATTCATAAAGGATATGTGCAAGCATATGGAAAAATTTTCCTTTCAGTTTCTCTAGCCTCTAGAAATAGTAAGAAATAAATATTTCTCTAGTTTCAAAACCCTTTCCAGACTGGTCCTCTTAGAAAGGTGGGTAGGGTAAAGAACAAAAGTCCTTTCTTAAAGAAACTGGATTAAGGGTGGAAACCTAATTTAGGACAAAAGTAGTCTTGTCTTGTCTTGATTATCAGCTTCCCATCCCCTGAAGCAATAGGCCTGTGACCCACTCAAGGAAGTGCCCTCTTTTCAGTTTGGAGGGATATGCCCTCTTCTAGGCAGAAAGGATTATGATATTGATCATAGGGAGGAGCCCCTTTTTATCCTAGAGGGGAGAGGTCAAAGAAAGAATGGAGTAGTTCTAGTTCCAGATGAAATGACTATTAGTATTATTTACTGTTCTGGAATGTTCACATGTTGGTGTTGTCAGTCTTGTCTGCCTCTTCATAACCCCATTTAGGATTTTCTTGGCAAAGACACTGGAGCCCTTCTCCAGCTTATTTTACAGATGAAGAAACTGAGGCAAACAGGGTTAAGTGACTTGCCCAGGGTCACACAGGTAGTATCTGAGGCTAGATTTGAGTTCAGGAAGATGAGTCTTTCTGACTCCAGGCCCAGGGCTATATTTACTATGCCACCCAGCTGCCCCAATGTTAACATAATTAAAAAATATATATATTATATATATTATATATATATATAGTGAACATGACTAATATGGAAATATGTTTTACATGAATGCACATATATAACCTATGTAAAATTGCTTACCGTCTTAGGGAGGAGGGAGGGAGAAAAATTTGGAACTCAAATCTTATAAGAAAATGAATATTAAAAATTGTCTTTACATATAATTGGGGTAAAAATATCATTAAAAAAATATTGTGACTTCTTCTAGCTTCCTAGAGGAAGCCAGGGGCACAGAGCACTGGGCCTGGAATCAGGAAGACCTGAGTTCAAATCCAACCTCATATATTTACTCCCTGTGTGACCCTGAACAAGTCACTTTACCTCTGTTTGCCTCAGGTTTCCTTATCTGTAAAATACGGATAATAATAGCACCTACTTCCCTGGGTTGTTGTGAGAATCAAGAGATAATGTTTGTAAAGATCCCAGGCACATAATAAGAACTTAAGAAATGCTTGGCCCCTTCTTTTCCTCTTCTTCTTGTTCAAGATAACTGTAAATGTTAATTTATCAACCAGCATTAATTAAATAAGCACCTTCTATGTGCTAAGCAATGTGGCTTACAAGAGAAGTAAAAATAGTCCCTGCCCTCCTAGAGCTCCAAACCAATGGGGAAGACAATATGGGAACGAATGTTACCATATATTGTCTTGGGGGTAGAGAAATGTCCACAGGCATGGAGGACTATGCCAATTTGAACATTTCTCTCTCAAAACTAGAAATGCCTACCTTGAGAAGGATGTTAGATGAATAAAAGTTGTTTCTGGCAGACTCCTGCCTAAAAATACAGAGGGCAGTGGCAAAGGATGGCGTCTGGTGCTTTGAAAAGCAGACTTCTTGTATAGGAATTATGGGAGCACAGGCATGATAGTTACACACAATGGGAAGCCGTGGATGGGCTTTAATCCGGGCCATTAGAGGAAGGATCTACAATGAAGGGATGACAGATCCATCCATTCATCAATAACTTCACCTTGAGTTGCTGTCCATGGTGCCTTATCGCTCCCATATTATATTGGGACAGCTGATTTTCTTTTAACCCAAGAATACAACTTTAGGTCAAAACCTATTCAATTTTATTTTGTCAGTTTCAACCCAGAGGGATTAAGTTGTCTGAATCACTTTGTGACTTTCACTCTATGCTTAGGTATAGATCTCTGAGTCTAGGGGAGTGTCAGTCACTCAGTCAACATTCATGAAGCACCTACTATGTGCCAGTCACCAAACCAAGTATTAGGAATACAAAAAAAGGCAAAACAACAACAACAAAAAATGTCCTGTGGGTTCCTGACTCCCTTTTCCTCCAACTATTACTTCCCTCTTCAGCATCTGACTGTTGTGGGAAAGGGAGGGAAGAGGGAGAAGTGAAGGGGAATCTAGACTTATAATTTCATGGTTTAGAGAACTCCCTTCGTGGAAATGTCCTCCACTGATGTGGATCAGCAATTCTACTATAATTCAGAATCATAATAAGTTGCCCTGAGCACTTAGAGATTAAACAAATAGCACAGCTACAATGTTTCGGAAGCAGGGTATGAATCCAGGTATTTTGGCCAAAGTCAGCCCTCTACAAATAATAATAATAAAGGCAACATTCTCCACAGCCCTGCTCCCCTCAGCTTCCCAGCTCCCTGGGTCCTCTTTCCCAGAAGTCTGAGGAGCTTGGGGAGGAGGAAATCACAGAGAAGAATCTATCAGGAGAGGCAAGATGCCTGGGTCCTCTTTCCTGATGTTACCAATGTGCTTCCTTATGAAAATCCCTTTCCCTCTCTGGTTCTCAGTTTTCCCACCCAGAAAATGGAGAGAATCTTCCAGGATTATTGTAAGGATTCGAAGAGGAATGAACTTCGGAATTTTAAAATAGTGACAATTTTTAAAAGAAAATAATAACTAAGAAGCAGACAAGGAACTTGCCCAGAATCACATAATGAATCAAGAGCAGAACTAAGGCCAGTGTTCCCCCATCCCTTGGTTTCTCTCATCTAGCACACACCAGTGATCTGTGGGTTGTTTCCCCCTAGGATAGAGACTGAGACACATTTTGTGGCAGAGGAAGTCCATTAGAAAAATACTATGATCTATAAAATTCTAATAAAATTATTTAATAACAACATGTTATTAATAATCAATTATTGCTACTAATATAATTGATAATAATAAATGCTAGCCATTATTACTAGGGGCTAGGTGGCACAGTGGATAGATTGCTGGGCCTGGAGTCAGGAACTCCTCTTCCTGAGTTCAAATCTGGCTTCAGACACTTACTAGCTGTGTGACCCTGGGCAAGTCACTTAACCCTGTTTGCCTCAGTTTCCTCATCTGTAAAATGAGCTGGAGAAGGAAATGGCAAACTGCTCCAATATCTTTGCCAAGAAAACTCCATAAAAGGTCACGACGAGTCAGACAGGACTGAAAAACAACTGAACAGAGCCGTTATTATTACTTCGTAGGGCTCTTCAGCTACTGCATAAAATAAGCCAGTTTCCTTTCATGTAAAATGGTAATAAAAATCGCTCCCCTGCTCAAGAGGTTCCAGTGGCTGCCTATCACCTCCAGGATAAGACACAAACTGCTCTATTTGGCATTTAAAGCCCATTATCAGTTGGCCCCAGGCCATCTTTTCACACTGATTTCATACTGCTCCCCTTAAACTAGATGGCACAGTGCTGAGAGCCTACAATCAGCAAAACCTGAGTTCAATTCGACTTTAGACACTTCCTAGCTGTGTGATCCTGAGCAAGTCACTTCACCTCTGCCTGCCTCAGTTTCCTCGAATGTAAAATGGGGATAATAATAGCACTTCTTTCCTAAGCTTATTATGAGGATCAAATGAGGTAATATTTACAAAGCTCCTGGTATATAATATATGGTATATGAATGTTATTATCATTATTATTCATGCACTCTCGATTCCAGCACAGACTAGCCTTCCTGCTGATGTCGTTTGGGATTGCTGGGAACCCTGAAATGACAGGGGACAGGACAGCATCTGCCTGGAATGAATTCGTGCACTGGAACCTTCTTCCAATCAGGGGGCAAATTTTACTGAAATGTCAATAGAAGCAGGCAGGGTTCCTAGTGAACCTGCAACTTAATGGAGGGGGCAGATGTGGGAAGAGACTGATGCTTACATACAAGAGGGAAAGTGAAAGGATCTTGAGGAGTCTGGGGTGGGCCAGGTGCAAAGAATATCCAGTAGACTAATTAGATGATCTGGGTGGGATTAAAGGAGTGAACTTTATATGCAAGTAATTTGGGGTGGGCCAAGTAAGACTGAAAGGAATGTCAAGTAAGCTAATTAGGTGATCCAGGTGGGCTGGGGTGGGCCTAGTGCTCAGTGATCTGGGCTGCTGAAATGTATGGGAAAATTCAGGGACTGGATTGCTTTCAAAGACATGGCCTTTTCCTTTTAGGGATTCAGGTCTCATCACCCATCATTGCTACTCTCCAAGGAGAGATTCCATCTTCTGGCTCCATATCTTTGTACAGACTGTCTGTACCCCATGCCAAACATACTTCCCCTCCCCAGTTCCGTCTAGCTCCTTTGAAAGCTCACAGCTCTTGGGTTACTACCTCCAACACCAGGCCTCTTCTCATCCCTTTGGTTGCTGGTGCTCTCCATGCCCCTAACACCCTCCCCCCATCAAAACTGTTGTTCAGTCATATCTGACTCTTCAAGACCCCATTTGGGGTTTGCTTGGCAAAGACACTGGAGTGGTTTGCCATTTCCTTCTCCGGCTCATTTTACAGATGAGGAAACTGAGGCAGTCAGGGTTAAGTGACTTGCCCAGGGTCACACAGCTAGTAAGTGTTTAAGGTCTTCCTGATTCCAGGCCTGGCATTCTATCTGCTGTACCCCCTAGCTGCCCATCAAAATTACTTTCTGTTTATTTACTTATTTATCTGCC